GGGGGGGAGGGGGGTACATGAGGCTGGGACGGAAGAGGTTAACACACCCCCCCCCTTTGGGGGACCCGGGGCTGTGCACAGGCACCCGGGGGGGGAGGGGGGTACATGAGGCTGGGAGGGAAGGGGTTAACACCCCCCCCCTTTGGGGGACCCGGGGCTGTGCACAGGCACCGGGGGGGGGAGGGGGTACGATGAGGCTGGGATGGAAGGGGTTAACACCCCCCCCCTTTCGGGAGACCCGGGTCTGTGCACAGGCTGCGGATGGGGCAGTTGCTAAGGAGACTCCTGTCGCTATGGAGATTGGGCTGAGGCGCCGTGATTGGCTGGGGGGCTCGCACGTCCCACTGCCCTGCTTTTATTTCTACCATTTGTGGGTTTTTCTGTCTGACGTGAAGGATGGGGGGGGCCATGGGGGAGGGGAGCTGGGGATGAACCGTGCCCCGGGCACGTGGCCTGAGCGGGGGAGGGGGCGAGTTTGGGGGTGTCCCCTTTGGGACCCCACTTCGGGGAGACACAGCCGAGGGGGACTCCCTGTGACCCCCAGACCCTGCTGCCCCTGCCAGGGGGCTGAGTCCTAGTCGGGGGCCTCCCCCAGGCTGGGGGGTACGGAGCGCCCTGCCCCCAGCTGGGCTCAGTGCAGGGGGGCTGGGAGCCAGGACTCCTGGGTTCTCTCCGCTGTTGTGCCCCCGACTCCCTGTGTAACCTCAGGCAAGTCACTTCCCCACTCGGTGCCTCGGGAACAGGGACCCCCCCCCCACTGCGCTGTGTGAGGGGCGGGGGTCCTGCCATTGCTGGCCTCCCCGTGCGGCGTGCGGGCAGTGCGGTGACCTCCCCCCACAGGCAGTACTGCAGGGAGAGCCACCCCCCCCCCCCGACACTGGGGTCTGGGACAGGCCCTGCAGATCACCCCCCCACCCTTCCCCCAGTCCAGGCCCTGACCCAGCTGGGTTCACCAGCCGGAGGCGGAGCCCCCTGCCTCCCCCCTCTCCCCCCCGTCGCCCAGCCTGGGGGGAGCAGAATGGGGACTCGAGGGGGGAGGGGACCGGAAGAGCCAGGGAGAACACCCCCCGCCCCCCACAAAAGAGGAGGCCTATGGCTGTGAGTGCAGCCGGCTCCGGGATGAGTCACCAGCCGCTGGCCAGCTCCAGGCAGGAGCCGCTGAAGGACAAAGGGGACTTTACAGTGGGGGCGGGGGACAAGCCGCAGAAGCAGCCCCCGACCCCCCTCCTTTGATTCTGAGCCTGTTTAACACCAGCATCAGCCCTCAGGACTCCTGGGTTCTCTCCCGGCTCTGGGAGGGGAGTGGGGGTCTAGTGATTAGAGCAGCCCAAGGCGGGGGCAGGGGCAGGGGCAGGGGGACTGGCCAGGACTCCTGGGTTCTCTCCCCGGCTCTGGGAGGGGAGTGGGGTCTGGTGGTTAGAGCAGGGGGGGCTGGGAGCCAGGACGCCTGGGTTCTCTCCCTGTCTCCTGTTGATCTCCGGGGAGTCGCTGTTTCCCTGTTGGCCGGTTCCAGCCGTGGGGCTCCTGTCCTGAGCCGCAGCCTCTCCAGGGAGGGCTCTGTGCCAGGAGTGTGACCCACCCTCCCCTGGACTCACTTTGCCAGGAAACCCTGAGCCAGCGGCTGCTTCCCAGTCCCCTGAGCAGCTGGCTCCGGGCTGGGCTGCCCGGGGAGGCTGGACCGGGGCTGCTGTCCCTGGCTGTTCTCCGCCTGGGTCGGGGTGTCCGGAGCGGCTGGGCAGCGTCCTGCGGGCTC